AGCGTCGACTTATTCTGAGTCATGACCTGATCTAAGCCCAGATATTAACTCATTTACTCCTCCCAAAAACTCTCCAGGGAAGGTATTTCCCCTGTTTTACAGAGATTAAGTAACTTGCCATGATCACCCAGCAGCAGATGCTGTTCTACAGTGCCTTTCACATGTTCCATCTAATGTCAGTCCATTGTTCATGGGGTGGGTCCACAAATTATGAGGCTTATATTCTCAGTATTTCTCACAAATAAAACAGGCTCTATGAAAGAAAATGGCATACTTTGTAAGCTTAAAAGTGTTACATAAATATCCAATAGCTTATTAAAAACTATTGAGATATCTATACTAAGGAAAGATAAAAATGACAGATGGTAAAATGTAACCCTTACCTCTTCTCATCATATGGTTTGGAAATTGAAATCTATTTTTTTCTACTATGAAGAAATTCTCCCTACTGTCAGTGGAATAAAAGTGCAGTGCAAACTGTGGGGACATCTTAACCTACTTCTTCTTCCTTCGTTATTCTCAGAAACGGCCAATCTGGATTGTTAGGTGCCCACGTACTGTTGGTTTAGAATGTCATACTAAAGGCTTTAGACTATTTTTCCTTTAGTTTTCTGCTTTCACTGTGAAACACTGCAAGCATAATCTTTGATGAGTTTTAAAATTCTTAGCAGGTTGGAAAATCATAGAAATGGAAAGTTACCCCTAACGTATTTCTTTTAGTATTTTTAAAAGTATTTTTTCATTGATTTCAGAAAGGAAAGGAAATGGAGAGAGAGACTGAAACATCAGTGATGAGAGACTCATTGATCGGCTGCCTCCTGCATGACCCCAATGGAGATCGAGCCTGCAACCTGGGCTTGTGCCCTGACGGGAATCAAGCCCTGACCTCCTGTTTTGTAGATCAAACAATATTCAACCACCGAGACACATCAGCTGGGTACATATTTCAATTTGGAAACTGAAGTTCATAGAAAGTCATAAAAATTGATTTTAAGTCAGATTTATTGCCTATAATGTGCATGGTCCTCATTAGACACAACGAAATTCAGGCACAAAAGTCACAAGATCCCTGGCCTCAGGAACCTTATGATCTAATTTAGTGGTCGGCAAACTCATTGGTCAACAGAGCCAAATACCAACAGCACAACGATTGAAATTTCTTTTGAGAGCCAAATTTTTCACACTTAAACTTCTTCTAACGCCACTTCTTCAAAACAGACTCGCCCAGGTTCCTGGTATTTTGTGGAAGAGCCACACTCAAGGGGCCAAAGAGCCGCATGTGGCTCACGAGCCGCAGTTTGCCGACCACCTATCTAATTAGAACACAGATTAGAAATAAAAGACAGACAAGTTACGTGTCAATGCTCACTTGCTAGAATGGACGTTAAAGAGCAGTAATTTAAGTAAATCCAAAATGGCATCTAATCCTAAAATCATTTATAAAATGTATTTGGCCTTCAAGTCCACAGCACTTCAAGCATGATAATTAAGTCCCACTGCAGATAAAGTCACAAAGATGCAAATACTCCAAAACCCTTCAGAGCATTTATTGACGACTCTTGTGATGGTGGATCTTCTGCTTTCTCCTTATTATCGTTCGCAGCCTCCGTAACACCAGCTTGTCAGACAGAAGCATGTCATCTTGTTGTTCTAGATAATCCAGTAAATTTTCAGTCCATTCAAGTGCAGCTTTATGGCTAATGTGCTTTTCTGGATGCACGTCTGTCTTCCTGGTCTTGCTGGGAGGCTTTTGCTCAGCAGGCTTGGACTGGTCCTCCACACCTTCACTGTCACTTAGCACCCGGCAGCTGGAGTCACTACTCTGAGAGTCAAACCACTGGTCAATATTCTCAATGTCAACGTGTTCACAGTCTTCTGTGTTCTGTAAAACCGTTGCTAAATTAGCTGCGAAAATGGCTCCTTCATCCATGCTCAGGCCCGAATTCTCTTCATTGCCAGGTAAAAGCTTTTTCCAAGCCCTGGCTATGGTGCTTGACTTCACCATGTTCCAAGCTCTGGATACTTCATAAATTGCATCCAACACTGTCAAGTTCTTCCAAAACATTTTTGGATCAGTTCCTTCATCCATGTATTTCTGGAGAAGCCCTGCTCGGTAGTATCTTTTTACCATGGCTAGAACTCCCTGGTTCATCGGTTGAATTAGACTGGTGACGTTCGGTGGCAGATACTTCACAGTTATTCTGCCATCATCGGAGCTCAGCGATTCTTCCTGTGGATGTGCTGGAGGAAAATCCAAAAGCAGCACTGCTTTTTCCAGAAGCCCTTTGGATTTCAAATGCTTCTGCACCTGCGGCACAAAGTATTTTTCAAACCACTGCCTGAACACTGAATGTTCTATCCACGCGCTTTTCTGACTGAAGTAAGTGACAGGAAAGTTGGAAAGGTCAGCTCCTTTGAATGCACGGGGTCTTTTTGCTTTCCCCACAACACAAAGATTCAGTTTGTGTAAACCTGTGGCATTTGCACAACACATAATAATGATCCTCTCTCTGCTTGACCTATAACCAGAAGTATTTTGTTTAGTTTCAAGAACTAATGTCCTGGATGGTAAACATTTCCAGAATAGCCCCGTTTGGTCAGCACCATAAATCTGCTCTGGTTGTAGATTCTCTCTTTCAATAAATTCCTGAAAGTTGCCGCAAAATTCGCTGGCAGCCGTTTCATCTCCTTTCAGTTTTGTTCCTTGACTAGCAGCCTTGGGAATACCATGGCGCTGCTTAAACCGAGTTAGCCAGCCAGACGATGCACTGAAATCACCTTCCATCCCTAACGCATCAAAAAAGAACTTGGCTTGTTTTGCACAAATTGCTCCAGACACTGGAATCCCATCTGTTTTCTGTTGGTTAAACCACTCTATCATAACTCTATCAAGTTCCTCGTATGTGGATGACTTCATAGATTTACGTCTGGATACCCCGCTTGTAGGATCTGAGTTGCTTGCATAGCTTATTATTCTATCCTTATTCTTTTTAATATCGCGAACAGTGGATTCACCAATTCCATACACCACAGAGAGTTTTTTGAAAGAGATGCCTTCCTCAAGTTTCTTAATAATGTCAAGCTTGTCCTTAATTGTCAACACCACACGCTTACGTTTCCCCAACATTTTAATGTCTAATGTATTAGGCAATTACTAGAACAAGATATTTACCGACCTTGACTTGAACAAAATGAGACTAGAAAATTGGGCTTTAAAAATCCCTGTCCGGTCTCCCTCAGACCTAGACGGATAAGTGTGCTGGCCAATTTCTAGGCAAGGCCTATATGACTCCCTTTGCTCTTTTAAAACTTAGAAAATCCCTCAACAAGGACTAGCTCCAATGAACCCTAGCTTCTTTCTTTCCCCTCATCTAGTTTAAGGTTTTTGTTTTTTTGTTTTTCATAGACTACAGTCTCGAAGGAGATTACAACCAATGCTGTATCAGCAAGTTCTCTCACAGTCCTATTGCGTAGTCAGTTCTTCTTGCCATCATTACAGCTGAGGTTATTACAAAAGACTAAGGCTCAGGTGGGTTATTTTGGGAAATGTGCTGGCGAAGAAATAGTTTCAGAGAGGACTTGCATACTTGACCCATGGGAAAATGTAATGGGAACACTCATGCCCTGACTGTTCTTTCTCAAGCAGCACGCTGTATGGAATGCTGCCTCTTCCAGGCAAGGACTGTTACAGGTTATGCAAGTGAGAGGTTATGGAAATCATAAGCAAGCATGGTAAGGCAGGCTGGGCAGAAGTGAGCAGCGCAAATAAGGCAAAGGTAGATAGGCAGAAAACTGTACATTATGAGGACACAAACTTATACCTAATGTATTGAACAACCAGAAAGGGAAAAGGGTAAGACAATAGGTGGCGTCACATGATTACAGAAATAATCAAAAAACTTCGCCGGTGGAAACCAGGACTCATGGTAGAGGGTATGGGGCGGAAGGCTCGGTGATGATGTTATACAATGATCCTGGTGTAGAATTTTCTTCGGTGGGCCAACAGAAGTACTGCCGTTCTGTAGAGGTATTCGGAGCCTCAGAAACCTAAAGGAAAATACCAAAAAAAACATTTTGTTTCCAACATCAGGGTCTGTAGAATTATCCTGAAACTATGTTGAAAAAATTAGCGTCTCTCACTAATGTGATGGCTAATAATGCTTTAAAAGGCGTTATCTAAAGTGACGGAGAGCCGGACCTGAATTGCCTACCTCCTGAAATTAAGAGGTCAGCGTGCAGCGGTGCAGGCGCGGGCGTCCGTCCGCAGGGCGAGCTGGTGCGCGGGACGTCTCTGCTCGGCGGAGGGAGCCGGGGTCCGCGCGTGGCCGCCGGCGAGCGGGTGTCACCGCCGCAGCCCGCGGGCGAGCGGGCGGCTGCTCGGCCCGGGGGACGCCCGTCCTCGCGCAGGGGGCATCGCTCCCCGCCGCCTGCGCAGCGCCGAGAGCAAATGGAGTCTCTGAAGGGAGATGGACACGGGTGGCGCGGCGGCGGCGGCGGCGGCGGCGGCGGCGGCGGCGGTGGCGGCGGCAACGGCGGCGGCGGCGGCAGCCCGGAGCGAGTGTCGCCGGAGCCGGAAGGCGGGGGATTAGGGTGCACGCGCGCGCCCCCCGCAGGAACGTTGTGTCGCCGAGCGGGCGGGGCCTGGGCGGGCAAGCGCGCCGGTCGCTAGCAGTGGGCGGGGCAGGGGCGGGGCCGGGGCGGGGACAGGGGGTGCGGTCGCTGACAGCGGGCGGGGGCGGGGCGGGGCCAGGGGCGGGGCCGGGGCTGGGGCGGAGTCTCTATCCGCGGGCGGGGGCGGGAGAGGGGAGTGGCCTGGGGGGCGGGGCCGGGCCAGGGGCGGAGTCTCTGGCAGCGGGCGGGGGCAGAAAGGGGCGGGGCTTGGGCCGAGGGCGTGGCCTGGGTGGTGTCGCCGACAGCGGGGGGGTGAGGCGGGGGCGGGGCGGGGGCGGGGGCGGGGGTGGGGCTTGGGGTAAGGTCGCTGACGAGCGCGCTGGGCCGGGGGCCCGGCCGGCGGCTGCAGCGACTCTGGGTGCTGCCTGGGTTCCGATGGTGGCCCGGCTCCTCCAGCCTGCCAAGTGCCTTGCGGACCAGCAGGCGGCGGTAGAGGCTCACCGTACTTCGGCCCTCCTCCCAGGGGGCCGGCTCGAAAAGCCAGGCTTCCTCCACGTTCAGGTGGAAGCCGGTTTGCACCCTCGGCGGGCTCGCGAGAAAGCCGAGCATCCTCCTCAGGCGCCCGGAGCCGGATGCGGACGGGGCAGGGCGAGCGCACGTGGAGCGTGTTTACAAACAGAGGCCGAGGCGCCGGGGCCGCAGAACGAGCTGGAGCGAAGGTCGTGAGGCCAGGTAGGAACGCGGGGCGGGGGTGCAGGGAGGCTGGCTCCCGGTGGGGAGCGGGGGGACTGGTTCGGAAGAGGAGCTGGAGCTTACACTCTGCACCACCCACCCGACCAGTCCTGGGTGGCTGGGGCGCTGCGAGGGTGTGGGGGACGGTCGAGCTGGCCGTGAGCCTCTACGCTGGCGGGATGCTCCAGGGTTGAAGCCGTGGAAGAGGACCTTGTGCATAACGCACTGCACCTGGGAGGCTTGTCAGCTACTCCCTGGTGACTTTCCTGCCTCCCAGTTCACTCCACTTGCTTCTCAGTAGTAATTAGGGGGTTCGGTTTGACAAAGAGTCCCTGGGTTTGTTTGGAACATGTGAAGCTGCCACACGTTTTCATTTTGGCATTTTAAATGGAGCGAATGCCAAGCAGGCACCTGTGCACTAGTCATCCCAACAGCGAGCGCCTCCTTCTCCGTTCTCAGGGACGCAGTTGCCTGCGGGGCCCTCTGAGCCTTCCCGGGAGAAGGGAGCGGCTGCCCCCTCGTCCCGTGGCACCGTTTACCCAAGAACCACGGTGAGCCTCTCCTTTTCCTCTTTTTTTTTTTTTTTTTTTTTTTTTTTGAAGAGGTGGAAAAGTTTCACCCAAGTTTCTCTAGCATCGGAACATAAAGGACTAACCGTTGTAGTTAACACAGCACAGTAATTTCGTCATTTATCTGCGAAGACCAAATTGAATGTTTCAAAGGGAAACTGACAGGAGCATTCTATACTGCAGAAAAGAGATGTTGATTCTAAGCCTGGTAACTAACTCTCCCGCCCAAATTGCTCAATTGCCTTCCTCAAAATCACAACTTTCTCTGATTAGGCATTTTGGAAAATTCTCTGATCGCCTAGCTATGCTGTGAAGTGGGTTTTGACAAATGCCTGTTTTATGGTTGTTTTTTTTTTGGGGGGGGGGTGTTTGTTTGTTTGTTTCTGGTTAAATTTCCTCTCCCGCCTCCCCATATACTCCAGTTTCTGCAGCCTTAGTTGACTATTTTGGGTAAAATACAACTTCATGCTATCTTTATATCACTTTTTGAAGTGTGCCTCTGCCTTGATATTTGTAAGAAACCTGAAAACAGTGGTATCTAATGCAATCAATGTATCTCCTCCATAAGGGAAGGGAGCTGTTGACTGACTACCCACCAAAGGCCAGTAACCAGATGTTAGCAGCCTGTCTTTCTGCCCTCCCCTTCCAGCCTACTGAGGTCACTCTGGCCCATGATATATAAATAAAATAACCCTGCTTCTTATCTCTGTTTCCCAATATCTTTGAGGTTTCATTTTCTTCCAGATATCACTTGCGTTGTTTCTCTGTTTTTGCTGGATTTCCCAGCCTGCTGGTGTCTTGTCTCTTATCGCCCTTCCCTTACCTCACCCTGCAAAAGTTCCAGTTTGGAGCACAGCCCACCTTTCTTGATTCCTCAAAATACCATTTCATGCGAGGCAGTTGTGTTACCAAACATTTAACAAGACTTTACCCAAGACAGCTGTGTCTTCACACAAGGTAGTTTTAGCCAACAAACTTCCCTTTCTGTTGGAGAGCAGGGCTGGGGTCGCAATGTGGCAAATTTCTATTAGGGTACAAGATTGGGGGGGGGGTGTTGAACTAGAATTTGGGGGCATCTTTGTTTTAAGAAGAGGCTGGCTAGCCACAGAGAGCTTCTTTCTCTTTAGGTGATGGTCTTTCCTTTCTCCCAGCATTCTATTGTATATCAGGTCTCCTTCCTCCTTCCTTCTCTCAGCTGCTTGTGCATCTTAAGATTCTTTTTCTTGTGCAGAGCAATTTGTATTCTTTATGTTTCTTCTAACTGCCCCCTTATCATTTGCTTTGGTCTATTCTCTAATCAAAAGACATTTCACTCCTTGGGCAATTCAGCCACCAGTATTTCTTTCTTTTTAATCCTTGCAACAGTGCTATGAGGTAGATGATACCTCTATTTATGTACAAGAAGACAAAGCCTTTAAAAAAAAAAAAAGTATATGAATTGATCAAATGGAGGTGGGAGAATGAGATTGAACCAAGTCCATGAGGCTTTAAAGCACCATGCTCTGCCTACATGATCATAATCAAAGTATTTTTGGCATTAACCTACCAAAGAGGCTTTCCAGTAGTGAGAGCACGTTAAGTCTGAAACAGCATTTATCAGGCTGAGCGTTTAGTTAATTGAAATGTGGGTTTCCTGAAAACTACTCCCAATCAACTGAAAATAACTTATGTTTCTCATGATTACAATATCCAAATTCCCCTTTCTGCTAAGAAAATGTCAATATAAATACATTATGTAGCCTCACTTTTAGTATCATTCTTTATTCACAATAGTTTTGTAATAGAATAGGACATCTCTAAATTCTTAATTTTAAATTCTTAATTGTTTTTTGTTTTGTTTTGGGGGTTCCATTTACTTGAAAAATGAATGATTTTCACACACACACAAAAAAAAATACAAAAAAAAACAACACACAACAACCTGACACCAACATACAATACATTTGTTTTCACCTGCATTTAAAGAACATAAAAAATGTAAGGGGCATTTTCCACTAAAATACTTAGATTTGGGGGGGGATGTAGGTGGGTATATTTTAGGGAAAACAGGATGTGTTTTTTAGGGCAAGCAGCTGACATCAACATAATGAAAGCTTGTTCTTAAAAATCTCCTTTAATGAAAAGGAGACAGTTACTTTGTGCATTGCAGACAAGAGTACCAACTATTCATTTTTTAATATTAAAAAAATACCTTTTAAATTGGTTAAAGTTAGAAACTGTTATCCACTTAAAAATTCCTACAGACAATTGAAAGATAAGATCATTGGAAAATCCCTTAATTTTCTAAAATGTTAACAGGATATTGGAAGATAGTGATTGAAGTCTTATACACTTGAGTCATGTAGGTGCCCAAAAGGGGACTTTTAAACTTGTTTTCTGTGTTTCTTTGGTGGCTGGCAGTAGGTTTTCAATTGACTGGCAGCATAAACAAAGATAAAAGGAGTTCTTTAGAGAATAGAAAAGACTTAAAAGGGTTGAAAAAATAAAAATCGCTGTTGGAAATGTTTAAGAAAAAGTTAAACTTAGTTCCTAAAAAACGGTGTGGAAGAATCCACTTTGTTCCTGATAGATGTCAGCAGTGCAGGTGGGAAACTTGAATGAAATGTAGACACCTGCCTTACCTTTCCGAACCTGCCAAGTTCCCAGCTGTTCTCTAAAGCAGCCCTCAGCCCATCAGTTTGGTCAACTCCGGCTTCCTGGGAGCCCGCTGTGCGTCAGAACCACTTGCTGTCCCAGTGCCCAGCACCTGCGGCATCATGCTTGTAGGCTCTTCGTGCTTTCCTGTTAGCCTGGAAAGTCCTCTCCTTCCTCTCTTAGCCTGTACATTCTTCAAGTTCCAGTTTGTCCAAGAAGCTGCATTTCTCAAGGTTGCTCCTCAAACTTTATGGGTCAGAGTTATCTGGAGTCCAACATAGAAATTCCGGAGTGCACTCAAGGGATGAAACCCAGGAATCTTTTTAGTGAGTGTCCCAATGGATTCTAACATGCTAAAGTTTGAAAACCTTATTATTTGACTACTATTTTGAATAAGATTCTTTACGCATAATATATTCTTTGGGGAGGGAGTTTTTCTTCTCCCTCCTCTCCCCTTCTTAAATTATATACAATATTTGAAGAAAAATATAAAGTGCAGAAAAGGAAAATAATACCAACATTCAGAGACAACTACTGTTTTGGTGTGTATCCACTGTCTTTTTTGTAGCAGAGTAATTATAATTTGTGTGTATGTGTGCAAATATACACCAAGTGGCCAGGTTATTATGACCTCTGAACACATAATAATCTGGCCACTCAGTGTATTTGTATCTCAAAGTGGTACCAAAAGTATTCTAGGCTTTTGCTGGAGATCAACCACCTACTTGCCCTGAGCCTTCTATCAGCCAGTGCAAAGGGGAAAACTGATCAGGTGCACAATTTATAGTATCTTTGATATAAAATAAATGAGTTACTTAAGAGAAGTACACTGAGTGGCCAGATTATTAAGCATTCAGAGATCATAATAATTTGGCCACTCTGTGTATATATATTGAGAATGTGAAGTCAAAATATACATAATTTTATACATGCTCTTATTAAAAACAGTATAAATATTTTGTGATATCGTTTATTCCCATGAGTCAAATACCACCAGGAACACACATGTTGCCAAAATTGGGATTATTATTGCAGCAGGGGATAGCTTTCCCTTGGAAAATCATGGAGTGTCTCAAAAAAAGAGGGCATCAGGTGGAGCTTATTAAAGATTTGGGTAAAGTGATTTTAGAGAGGTTTAAAGAAAATGAGGAATCTATTCTGTGTGCATTCCTAAAGGTGCTGTCAGAAAGCAGGGACAATTTGGCTTTTGGGCAACTTAATTTTTAACCTGTTTTTTATTGACTTTTGGAGAGTAAGGAAGAGAGAGGGATGATAGAAACATCACCCATCAGCTACCTCCTGCATGACCCCTACTGGGGATTGAGCCCACAACCCCTGCTGGAAGCTAAAACTAATAGTAACTAGCATATTATGCAAAATGACCCATTGGAAGGCCAATGGACTTTGATATTCAGCAGGGCTGAAAATCAGCATAATATTGCCCTGCTGTGGGCTCCATGGCTGGAGGCAATCCCCTAACCTGATAATCCTTTTACTGTTTACCAAACTTTACCTTTGATACACCTGTGTGCATTCCTAAAGGGCAAATATGTATTCAAGTGAATAAAAGCTGACAGGTCCAGGGTTTGAGTGAGCTTCTCCTCTAGAGAGAGGTTTCCACCTAGCTCCCCATGCCTTCTAAATTAATTTTTCTTGTCTAGAGTTTTTATTTGTGCGCAGCCGCTTCTTCAGATCCTGAACCTTAGCTGTGCTGGATGCGGCATTCTGGTGCCCGAATAGGACTCTGGAGAACAAGATTTGCCTGAGTGAAAAAGGAAAAGTAGGAATTCATCAGAAAGGTGGAAAAGTTCACTGTGCACAAAACCTGTACCAGCTTTGGAGTTGCGAACTGTAAGTGGACGGGGACCATCTTTCATTTCAGCCAGGTTATAATGGGGAAGAGTAAAAGGCAAAAACATCATTGTAAATTTTTAGCTCAAGGATAAAGGAATTAAAGTTTCAAAAGGTACTCTCTTAAATCAGACTCAAGGAAAGCAAGTGCCTTTGTCATCTTTAACTATGTGGTCTCTTGTTAGAAGTGCATTATGCCCACTTAATATTGGGGATCAAAAGTCTGTAACATCTGCCAAAGCCGGTTTGGCTCAGTGGTAGAGTATCGGCCTACAGACTGAAAGGTCCCAGGTTCGATTCCGGTCAAGGGCATGTACATTGGTTGCAGGCACATCCCCGTAGGGGGTGTGCAGGAGGCAGCTGGTGGATGTTTCTCTCTCATTGACGTTTCTAGCTCTCTATCTCTCTCCTTTCCTCTCTGTAAAAAATCAATAAAATATATATATTTTTTAAAAGTCTGTAACATCTAAGACCCCAGATCCTCTGCCTCTAGTGTGGGAAGGTTCAACAGCTAGAGAAAATGGGGCTAAAAGTTCTTTTACAAAAGGACTTATTAATACTTCCTCTGGAAATTACCATATGATGCCTTGTGACAGGCAGATTTTAACTAAAATGACTTTAGTTGCCAGTCAATGGTATGGAGAGCAGAATATGATAAGATCTGTGAACAACAGGCTTAGAACTAGGCTGCATTCTGGCTATAAGTCCCAGGAAATATAAAACATTTGAAAGATCCATGAAAAGAACTCTGACTAATTAAGTTTTGTCTATGTGTTATGGGTGCTCGTCTGTTGATTGTTGTTTTATCTGTCTTTGTTGTTTGGTTTAATCTATTTATTGTTAGTCTATTAAGCATGCCTTTAATTTAATTAAGTAGAAAAAAACAGTAGATGGCCAGGCTATTACTAAATTTCCCCAGAGCAAACAGAATGTGTGGGTGGGGAGAGAGAGAATATGAGCAATACACATGGCTGATAACACAGTTTCTAGGAAAATTCCCTAGACAAATGGAAGTAACCATAAAAGGCCCCAGCCCATGAATTACTAGATCTTTTGGTGATCCTGTAAAATGGACACCCACTCCCAGGAGTGTTATTAAAATCCTCATTTTCGCCATGATTTTATTTCTCAGTCTGTCATTTGAAATTTGGATAGATGAGATACTTCTCACAATTTAGGGATGCGTCTGGGATTTCTATATCCATGAAGAGAAAAAGGCTAGCTTAAGAGAAAGTGTTCCCTGCCAGATTTTGGGTGGCCTCTCGGCCTAAGCCCCATCTGTTCTTGAATGTTATAGAATAAACCCCAAACTATTTTTCTTTAAAAGATGCCAAAAATGACATAAAGAAAACATACAGGCTGTGTTTGAGCAACAAGATTAGTGTTCCCATAATAATGGGTAGTTCTTGAATAATAATGGACCACAATCCAAGGTTAATAAGGATGCCACTGAAAGTCAGTAACTTATCTCTGTTACAGAATTTGCCAAATAAAATGCCTTGCATAATAATAATTGGCTTTAAAGTCTCAAAGTTGTTAAGGCAAAATATACATAATTAAAATGAAAGGTATATGGTAAATCTTTTTCAGTAGTAATTATATATGACTACACAAGTTTCCAAAGTCTTTGGTAACTTAAAATTTTTGAATTTACTAAATTAAATAATAAAACTATTAAATATCTAGATATTTTAAAATGACAAAATAGTGAAATATTAATCTGTTTGCCTCATATGAAAAATCTAGAGAATAGATTTGAATCTATTAATTGAATATGTCTTGTGTTTTATTTGAAATATATTCTTAAAAATGTAAGTATATTACTAATCTGAGAAATGCTAAGTATTTAACATACCACCTAAAATTTGAGGCTTCTAAGAGTTTAAAGTTCAAATTAAGTTGGGAGAAATTATGTGGTTGTGATAACAAAATGCATAAAGTATAGAAATTCATTTTGAGAAAATAATTCTCGTATTTTCCCTGGAGAAATTAGAAGTTCAAAATCTATTGTAGTCCTTATGTGTACTATGTGTGGTAAAATTTCAACCTAGGATATAATATTTTATTGGCCTGATTAAAAAGGAGGATTAATTCTTTGTTCTGAACCAAATTTGTAATATAAAAACCAGTTTAAATTTAATTGATGTCTTTTAGAATAATTACAAAAAGTGTGTCAATAAATGTCAATCTAAAAAATGCTGCCTGTTTACTTTTAATTATCACTAGGAAGTTAAGGTTTAAATATTGTATGGTTTTAATAATAGAAGGCAGGACATACATTTTAAGGAAAAGGAGGATAAAGGTCTATACAAGTTGCTGAAGTTATATGCAAGTTAATGACAAAAAAGAATATTAGAGTAGAAGTACTTAATAGAAGTTCTAAGGCAGGGTTATGTATTTTTGAAGCACATAGAAGGTTTGAAGGCTAATTTTGAAGTATGAAATTTGTGAAGGTTATGTATGTGATGAGAAGGAAAAAAGTTTGCCTCCATAAACAAAGCTTATGTCTATATACTCAAAAAGACTGATAGCAGAAATCCAATTAGTGTCATTTACTGTCAACACCCAAGGACAAACCAAGTTAGAAAATAAACGTTATTTCAGACTGATTTAAACTGGCAAATTGAAATAAGTGACTATGACAACTAAGTCACCCAGGGAATTTAGTCGTCACCTACTGAAAAACAAATTACTACAAGTTTTTATATTACACCCCTATTATTATACCAAAGAATACTAAGCAGAAACTTATTCCGAGAGCATTAACTGTTTTTACTTATGGTAAAGCTGCTTATCATGCAATAAATTTCCACTGAGTTATCCAGACCAGTCACATTTCTGTGCAAATAATTGAATTAGAAGCTATCAAGGCTGCATTGCAGGATTTCCAAAAGCCTCTTAATATTACTGATTTTGCCTATGCTGCTGGCCTGGTAACTAGAAGTGAGACTACTTTATTAAAATGACTCAGTGACCAGAGTGTATTTATACTATTTAAGCAGGTGTTATTTCCAAAAATTTTGTAAAAAGTGGAAAATTCAGCACATTACAGGAATACCATACAATTCCCAAGGACAGGCAATTATAGAACACAACATCAGTGGCTCAATTTCCAACTGCAAAACAAAAAGGGGGAATAGTGTAGAAATATCCTGTAAGTAAACTACACCAAGCTTTAATTACTTTAAAATTTTTTAATTACTTTAAATGCTGATGGCAAGACACCCATGAAATTACACTGGTGTCAGAATAAGCCAAAGGAAAATGGTCTGGTTAAATGGAAAGATCTCGAGTCTGGCTTATGGAAGGGCCCCAACCATTTTGTCAAGGATATGCTTGTGTATTTCCAGAAAACTCCTCCAAGCCTGTGTGGATTCCTGCAACATGAATCTGAGAGAGGACCTTGCACATGGAGCCTAAAACTGTACCTGCAACTGCAGACAATCGACTACTTCAGCCATAGATAGCAGTAGCCACAAGCAATGTGCTGAAGATAACAGTCCAGGATGGTAAAGAAGCCTTGCCATGCTAGCAGTGATCAGTTGTGCAATGGTGCAGGTTGCCCTGGAAAAGCCAAAGAAGGTCAGACCTGCATTGTCATTGCCTACCATTTGTCCACCATCCAGAACTCAAATATCATTGCTGTAATGTCACAGGGAACATGATTGGGATGAGAACCCATAAAGAACTGATGGCCCAGAAAGAAGCCTACTACAAATTAGTTCCTTAAATGCCTGGCAGTGATTTAAAAAGGACATAAGAGAACTCAATTCTTTTCACTGAATCTCCCTACAGTTGCTTTTTAGCATAACCACTATTGTCTTTCTCATTCTTGTTCTTGCATTTTTAATTCTAGTTTGCAGATGTAGAATGAAAAGTCTTAAAAGAACTCAAGACCTGCAAACAGCATTCACCTTTCTAGATTTATTAAGAAAATAAACAGGGGGAAATGCTGGAGGCTAAAACCAACAGTAATTAGCATATCATGCAAAAAGACCCATTGGAAGGCCAATGGACTTTGATATTCAGCAGGGCTGAAAATCAGCATAATATTGCCCTGCTGTGGGCTCCATGGCTGGAGGCAATCCCCTAACCTGATAATCCTTTTACTGTTTACCAAACTTTACCTTTGATACACCTGTGTGCATTCCTAAAGGGCAAATGTGTATTCAAGTGAATAAAAGCTGACAGGTCCAGGGTTTGAGTGAGCTTCTCCTCTAGAGAGAGGTTTCCACCTGGCTCCCATGCCTTCTAAATTCATATTTTTTGTCTAGTGTTTTCATTTGTGCATGGCCCCTTCTTCAGTTCCTGAACCCTAGCCATGCTGGTTACAGCAACCCATGCATGTAGTACGAACAGGAATTGAACCCGTGACCTCTTGGTTCATGGGTGGAAACTCAGCACACCGACTAAACTAGAGTGACCTCATTTTTATCTTCACGGAAAACCTCCTCTAATGCCTATGAAATTATTTAAATTCCTCAAGATATCTTGACTATCTTGTTCTGAGCTTTCAACACTTTCTCAAAGGACTAAGGATTCAAAAAAGTTTAAATAATCGTTGATAGATTAGCTCATTCAGCCTTGAAGTGATTGATTGATCCCTAAGTTATCTGGGTAGATAAATCATGATGCAATTCTGCCTTAGTGAGACTCATTTATGCTTAAAGAAGAGTTATTAACACCTGGCTTCAATCCTTCTAGGTTAAAAAGTCCACACAGTATTTCTCAAGCTCAGCTTTGATCAATTTTAGAACTTTTCACCTTCAAAAAAAAAAAAAAAAATCCCATATTATCCCACTCCCCATTCCCTATTCCCAATTCCCCACTTCCCACAAACCTCTTTCCTGTTTTCCACCTCTTGGCAACTGACTCTATAGATTTGCCTATTCTAGTTATTTCATATAAATGAAATCATAGAGTATGTGACTTTATGACCAGCTTCTTTTACTTAATATAATGTTTTCATGGTTCATCAATTTGTAGCATGTATCAGTATATCATTTCCTGTCATTGCTGAGTAATATTATTATACTAGAAGCCCAGTGCATGAATTTGTGCATGGGTGGGGTACAGTTGGCCGATTGGGCCAGGCCACCAGGCCAAGGAGGCACAGGAAATTGACTGTCTGGCCCCGCCCCTGATTGGGGTGGGGGGCCAATCAGGAGTGGAGCCAGCCAAGAGGAGGTGCCATGGGCCAGTCCCGCCCCCTGGTTGAACTCCTGGTTGAGGGGACAATTTGCATATTAGTCTTTTATTATATAGGATGGATACCTCACATTTTATATATTCAGCAGTTGATGTTGAATCAGCATTTAGGGTTTATTTATTGATTGCCTATCCTATCTAATAAAAGAGTAATATGCAAATTGACTTTAACTCCAACACACAAGATGGCTGCCCCCATGTGGTCAAAGATCCTACCTCCATGTGGACACAAGATGGCCGGCAGGGGAGGGTAGTTGTGGATGATCAGGCCAGCAGAGGAGGGCAGTTAGGGGTAACCAGACCTGCAGGGGAGAGCAGTTGGACACAACCAGGCCTGCAGGGGAGGGCAGTTGGGGGGGACCAGGCCTGCAGGGGAGGACAGTTAGGAGTGATCAGGCCTGCAGGGGAAGACAGTTAGAGGCGACCAGGCTGGCAAGGGAGGGCAGTTAGGGATTACTGGGCCAGCAGGGGAGGGCAGTTGGGGATGACCAGGCTTGCAGGGGAGGACAGTTAGGGGTGACCAGTCCAGCAAGGGAGGGCAGTTAAAGGCAATTGGGCCGGTTGCAGAGCAGTTAGGCATCAATCAAGCTGGCAGGGGAGTGGTTAGGGGGTGATCAGGCTGGCAAGCAGAAGCAGTTAAGGGCAATCAGGCAGGCAGCAGCCCTACGTCATAAGAGGGATGTCCTACTACCCCATCTTAGATGGGGCCTAAATGGTTAGTTAGACATCCCTCAAGGGGTCCCAGATTGGACAGGGTGCAACATACCTCAGTTGCAGGTGTGTGGGAGGCTGCCATTCAGTGTGTCTTCCTACATTGATGTTTCTTTTTGTCTCTCCCTCTCCCTTCCACTTTCTCTAGAAATCAGTGGGGAAAAATATCCCCAGGTGAAAGTTAAAAATAACAACAAAAAGAAATAACCATCTAAGAAGTATCTGTGTTTATTCCAACTGATGTTGAAAATGCTGCTTAGGATATATTATCACTTAAGGATTCATGTGATAAATTCTGGCTATCTTTAATGATAAAGAAAAATTATGATCAGGTGCAAATTTAGCTTCCTTTTATCTGACAGAAGAACTGAATATGGCCATTTTATTATTGACTTTGTGCTTCATTGCTATATACCTAATTCATTTTGAATTTCAGTACTTTTTTTATCCAATGATGGTATTCTTTTAAAAATTTTAATGTTTTAATAACTCTCTTTCTTATATAGTAGTTATTGTTTTGAAACCATGTAAAAAGAAAACAGCATAGTTATTGCTTTGGTAGCATGTAAACAATAAGACTTAGGTACATCTTAGAGATAAACCTTATGGGTTCTGGAGACACAATCTCAGGTTTGCACTTATGACTCCACCTACCAACCATAGAATTTCTGGCTAGTTATATAAATCTTTCACATATGGAAAGTGGGAATAAAAATTATACTGATTTTGATGTTGTTGTAAGGATGAACCAAATAGTATATATAAATTGCTTTGCAGGGTACCAGATAACTCTGCACTAAGCACTAAGTAAAAACTAGCTTATGACTTTCTTATTTCCTACTATTTTTATTAGATGGAAACAACTTGTATTCTCTTAGCCTCCTAAAATTGGAGGCTTTGAAAGGAGACATAGATAGCTAAAAGACAACTGTGGTGGGAAAGGCTGGATCAATTCATACACATTTAATGATGTATAGTTTTTGAAAGAGTGTATGATAAACCTGTTTTTTGTAATTATAAGGAGATTCACCTTAGGATTGTCTATTCAGAATTCTCAATCAACCCAGAACAGATGCACACAGTCTTTCTTTCCTTTAATCCTAACCACAACATATCCCATATACTATTTCTGGCAGCCTTTTAGCCCCATCATAAGTATCTGAAGGGGAAGGTAGAGGTATAAATGGGAATTTAATGCAAAAGATAGTCTTCAAATAATCATCCTTTTGGAAATATGTCTAAAATATGTTTTAGTTTCTCCTTGTTCTCTTTTATTAAATGTAAAAAACACAAAGGTTGGAGAGGGTGGTTTGCCCTTCTGTTATTTCTATTTATTGTATCTCTCAACCTAAACCCTGACATCTTAATTTTGAAAGATGGTAGTAGTTAAGTATCTCCTTTTCCTTGGATTTTCATATTTTTCTCTTTTGCTTTGAGATAGGTAGGTACCCATGCCCCCTCCCCCACATACACACACACAATGCTTGCAGTATTAACAGTTTTGTTTTTCCCCTCTCCCTTGTCTTCTACCCCATTCTTTTCCTTTGGGGCTGTACTGGTGGAACTAGCCAACAATTGGCAAGTCCCTGTCAACTGTGTACTGAAATTGATGTGCAATTGTATGGGTGTTTGGTAAGGGTGAATTGATAGGATTATTAAATCCATCATTTTGAAGCTGACTGGACTTTTAAAACTTTCTTACTTCAATTGGTAGCTTGTTTCCAATAATGTTAGAAAAAAAGAAAAATCTGGTTTATTTAACAATAGTATCTCTTACTATAACATGGGAGTTAATTATACACTGACCTTTTTTATTTATATTCTTCTTTTTTTAACCAGTTGGTTATTTTAGTTCATTTATTACTGTTATAGTCACAGAAAAGAGTTTTCTGATATATCTTTCACATGAAGTATTAGGACTCTAACCTTCCATTTTTAAATTTTTAAACTTTTTTTGAGATGAAGGATTCTCTCCTCCTTGCATAGTTTGAGACTCTGATGTAAATGACTAGGAACTTGATTTACCTCAGCTTGCAGTAGTTAATTGCTTGGCCAGGAAATTTCATACCCCAGTGAAAGGCAACAAACATTGTTACATATAAAATAGACATTTAACAGCAATTTATGCCTAAATATTAAACTATTTAGGTTTACTATTACTATGCAGCTATAGTAATGTTATTACAATGCACAGCAATCCTATAGCAATGCCCCCTCCATCTTTCCTAACAGTCCATGGTAGCCTAGTATATTGCAACTCATGAGTTTTAAGGCTTTTAGGATTATAAATCATATCCATTTTTAAAAGTCTACTGGAGAGGAACATGGTGTTGTGTATAAATGGTAATGTATTCTCTTAGTAAATGTTTGATTGCTAATCAGTGAAGTTTTGAGTTTCTATTCTGTTTGTTCATCTATCCAGCTGTGTGTAATTTAGCAAGTAATTTGATTTCTCTGAGTTTTACATGTTTTCTCATAAAATGGGAATGATGACATATCCTAGCTTTTTTAATGTTGATTGAATGAGTTAATAAAGATAAAAGTGCTTCATAATTAATATTTTTTAAATATGCTCTTGTGTTACCTCTTTTGCTCTAGTAATATTTTTTTTTAACTGGAATGTTGATTTACTATTTACACCTTGTAATTGACAGTGATGTTCATAACATGTCCTTACAGTTAGCCTAGTCACAATTGGAAATCAGGTGTGTTTCAAACTGATCTTAATTTAATGCATTTGTGAAAACACAGGTCTCAGAGAAGCAGGGGTGTGAAACCTAGCTTTGTCCGTTATTGGCTGTGTAAGTCTGAATATCTCTTGGGCCTCACTCAGGGGTGATGTGTACATGGGGGAGTTGTTGTGATAACTAAATGAAAACCTGTGCGAAAGCCTGGATAATAAACAGATGTTAGTGACTGCTCCTGTACACCTTCACAATGTGGGTTTGGAAGGTTAGGTTTACAAACATCTCTTAATGCTAGTTCTCAGAATTATTATTCAGTTAATAAAAATATTTCCTTATTTGCTGATGACCTTTTTTTTTTTAAGGTTGTTTCACTTTTCCTTTCTGAATTTTTTAAAGAGTGTAAACCATATTATTTATCACAGTCAAGTACTGTGCCAGGGGGAAAAAAATTGTTTGTAGATGCTAAAAAGTAAAAAAAAAATTTAATGGGCGAAATTCTTATTTTAAAATATCAAACATAATTGCTTTACCAATTTTAACTTAACCTTTATTCAGCAATAATATTAGAAGAAATTTGGTGGAACCTTCCTGATAAAGAGTTTGAAAATAAAAGATTCAGGTATTAAGGACCATAAATCTCCAATGAGCACTGTT